ATTCAGCATGTCAAACTGTATATGAAAAACTATTTTCGAAGTTCAACACATCTCCCCTAGCTTCTGCAAAAAATTCATTTACAAGAGAATGCAAAAAACGTAACCCTCCGCTCAAAAAAGCATCAAGTATTTTTCCTTAAGTGATGGAACCTTGAATCTTATGCCAGTTAAACCGCCTTGAAGCGGAGAACAAAGTTATATTCTTTTATATTTAAGTTTTTTCATTCTTAATCAGATATTTCACTTTCATTCGAAAAAGTCGGAATTCTCCTCGGAATTCTCAATTTCTGAAAGCTCTGTTGAAGAAAATTGAGAATTCCGAGGAGAATTCCGACTTTTTCGAATGAAAGTGAAATATCTGATTAAGAATGAAAAAACTTAAATATAAAAGAATATAACTTTGTTCTCCGCTTCAAGGCGGTTTAACTGGCATAAGATTCAAGGTTCCATCTCTTAAGGAAAAAAATATATACCTATCATGTTTTCAGTTTTTGCTACTGTCATTATTGAATATTGCTATGTCTTACGAAGGCGAGCGTAGTCAAGCGCTGCGGTGAATTGAAGTTGAATATTAGATATTTTGATAGTGAAACATCGTTCATTTATTTGTGTAGGTTCAAATTCGACATGGAAACTTTGTGTCTAATATATATTCCTTGCTTGAGATAAACGCAATAACTCATAATGATATCATAATTCAAATTGCATCGTGTAGTTGGGATGCTCATTTGTTAGAGATATTAGGATCTTTAATACTGAGTGCTACGGTCATTATGTTATACCCAGATGGACATCGAAATATGATCTATTTATTAGAAACGATACAAGCCAAAAGAGCCACTAGTCTGGGAGCAGTGCCAACGCTTTTGATAACGTTGTATGAATATTTACAACGAAGTACCGCTCATTTCGATAGTCTCAAAACAATGCGAGTAGTTTGGACAACAGGTATGCCACAAATAATCTGTCATTTCTATCTGACTTCTTTCCTTGTGTAGGTGAAGTTCTTCTGTCACAGGTTGTATCTAAGATAACGCCATATCTTTCTTCCCATTGTCAAATTATTAATTTATATGGACCCACGGAATGCACACTTGGATCAATGTATCATTATGTTACTCAACATGATATACTGATGCAATCGATACCGTGCGGTCGTCCATTATCCGGCTATGGATGTTATTTACTTGATGATTATCTACAATCTGTTCCGATTAATTATGAGGGAAAAGTCTATATTAGTGGTAAGTTCAAAAAGCTAACCTGTCTAGGTAATTGTGCAGTTTCATTGCCACTATTCTTCCTTTTTAAATTTTGCAAGTTTCATATAGAAGACCATCTTTTCTCAGATAATATTTCCGTCTAGGTGTTGGCGTTTTCCCTGGGTATTTAAATAATGATGAATTAACCAGGAAATGTTTGCTGAATATCGACAAAATATCAAGTGAAAAGTGTTATTTTACTGGCGATATTGGTAAACTGAACTCAAGTGGTGAACTTCTATTTAGTGGACGTATTGATGCACAAATAAAACTTCGTGGTCAGCGTATAGAGGTTGAAGAAATCCAAAATACAATACTTAAATTCTTTAATTTAATCGAAAATTGTCTTGTTGTTAAAAGTTATAATGACAAATCACAGCAAAATTGTTTGGTTGCTTATCTCCAGACAAAATCTACAAATACTAATGATCTGTTAATAAATGAATTAAGAGAATATTGCCAACTACAATTACCACAATACATGATACCCGCTATGTTTATCACAGTCGATCAGTTCAAATTAAATGCAAATGGTAAGATTGATCGTAAACAATTACCGCAACCTGATTTCTCACAACTATTGAACTCTGTCAATAATAAGAACTACATTGAACCACAAACAGAATTAGAAATACAAATACATGATTTATGGTGTCAAGTTCTAAATCATGAAAAGATTTCATTAAATTCAAATTTTTTTTCTCTCGGTGGCAATTCTCTTTCATTAATGCAGTTGTACAATTATTACCGGGCACAATTCAATGTTATAATGAATATATCACAATTATTTAAATACTTAACAATAAATGAACATATCACACAATTGTCTGCAAAGAAGGAGAGTAATATGCAACGACAATGGAAACCGTTGAATGTCATTGAAGGTACATTCTTCTACAAATCCAGTGTTTTCATGAGCTTGTTCTTTCATTTTTCAGGCTTGGCGTCTTATGCGCAAGAACGTATTTGGCTAGATGAGAAAGTTCGATTTTCCGCTCAACAACGTGGACTAGCCATTTACAATATGCCATTAGTGTTGAAAATTACACAAAATTCTATATCCATCTACCGATTACTTTCTTCATTAGAACGATTGATTAGGAAACATTCAGTATTACGTACTAGAATTAAATATGACTTAACAGATAAATGCTTGAAGCAATCGGTAAATCCTGCATCAACCGAACAACAGTATTCATTCCAAAGAAGTGAAATATTTACTAAAGAAGAATTACAGCATATTCTGTTTAATGAAGAAACGTCAAGTAAATATTTTAATTTGGAGCAAGGTTTGGTATTTCGGTGTCATTTAATACGATGTTCTGAAAATGTTGATGCTGCTTTACTGATTGATGGTGATATGATTATATTTAATTTCCATCATATTGCCTTTGATGGTCGATCTGTTGATATCTTTTTAAATGATTTACAATCAGCTTATAACGATGACAATCTCGAAATACAAGAAGATACCTTAACATATATTGATTATTCACTGTACGAACGTGAAATGGACATGAGCAAAGCTAAACAATATTGGAAAGAAGTACTGGATGGGTATCACACAGATAAACTACCATTACCCTATGATTTTAAACATAGTGAACAACGACGAACCGGTCAAGGGTCATCGGTGGCGTTTGAATTAGATAATGATTTAGTGCAACAAATGCTTGAATATGGATACAGAATGAATGTAACACAATTTCAGTTATGTTTGTGTTGCTATTTTGTTTTCCTATTTAAATTATCAAATTCACAAGATAAAGATTTATGTATTGGCAGTGTCAGTGCTAACCGTCATAGACAAGAATTACAACCACTGTTGGGTATGTTTGTCAACACCTTGCCCTATCGTTTAAAGTTAGATGCAGCTAGAACGTTTAATCAAACACTTCAACAAGTACTAGAGCTATGCTTGGATATATTAGAATTCAGTTACCTACCATATCAACAAATAATTACATCACAGGAGCATGAACAATTAACACCATTTATACTAACAACATTTATACTTGAGTCAAATCTTCATCATTTGGTACATCTCAATGATTCCATTTTATGCCAACTATTGGACGATGACAACATTGCTATTCAAAGAAACGTATCGAAATTTGATTTATCCTTATTAATGAACTATAATGATAGAAGTAGTAAAGCAATGACATGCTTATTTGAATACTCTACTGATTTATTTCAGCGATCGACGATCGAAACAATATGTCAGAGATTTCAGGTTT